CTGCTGGTAACTCTGAGCCGGACTTTGGGTTAATGGTCTAATGACACCCATTTGTTGAGTAAGCATATTAACCGTTTCGTGATTACTATCATCTATTTGTTGCCTCATAATAGCAACATAACTTATGGTGAAAGTAGGCCTTGCTTGGGACGAAAATCCCAACCCATTCGGAACACCAAATTGGTTTCCCAAAGGTCCCGATCCATGATACAGTGAAAACACCGACGCCGTGTTTTTAGACAATGTAGAAACATCACTGCGCAAGCCTGCCATCAACGATGTTGGCATTCCATAGAGTCTTTCTCCAACAAATATGGGTCTAGAAAAACTAGGCACATAAGCAGTTATTCCAGACGGCTTTGGAATGCCATGTTGATTTGGCAAAAATGTCGACCCACTTTAGGCATTCAACACTATAGCTATAATGCTCGACATAGATACACAAGAATTAGAGGATTGTGAAGCAGTTGTGCCTCCTCCCGGGGATTCATGTCCACTGGAACTAGTATTTTAAGGATCTACCATATTCCTACCACTCCTTAAAATCATGCACTCAGTATTGAAGTTAAGGAAAACAACATGCAAAATATTGGTGATTTTACACAACGGATTCCACTAGGTGTGCCAATTTGTTCACAAGGATTTCTGGTGAACAATCTTTATCCTCTTAATTAAAGTTTACTTGCAGCACCAACTACAGAAATCCTAGACTTAATGTTAAGTTTTGTATGATTTTGACGTTTGAAATGATAAGAAACTGAATCGTAAAGATAACAAGTAGAAAATGAAAGAAATTGCTGGAAAAAGACAAAGACAAGACTTTGAAACTTGAAAAAGAAAATTGCTTAGAATTAAAGTTGGACACATGCATACATTTTTCTGGAATCAACTCATTTCTCTTAAGCGCTGGTACTTTGAGTGTTTTTCTGGAAATGTTACAAAAATGCGACCACTAGAACTGAATACTATCCTTGCTTAAATAGATATTAAAATAACTAATATCTAAACGATCGACCATTCGCAGTCATCCACGTATTAAGTTCATGCGAAAACAGCTTTTGACAACTTCCTCACGTTCTTGACAATTGTTTTGCAACTGCTTTGTATTAATTTCCTACATGTTCGACTTGGTTTCAACGAGATCTCACCATAAAATTTGGCTAAGTCCTTGAAGCCTTTCTTTGAGCCATTTGGTTAGTTCGACTATAAATTTTGTTGTGTCTAAAACCTTCGATGCTTCTAAGTTCGACGCCCTCTTTTCAACAATCCTTTATTCGCCTGATACCCTTTTATATAGTTTTGTACTTCAAAAACTCTTGTAGCTATAGATGCCTTAGTCGAAAATTCTTGGCTAACAGCAGGTAGTTTAATAGATATTTGCGGATAAAATAAATAGATATTTAAATACTCGTTTATTAAAAGATATGTATATGGATTTAATGTTACTCGTGCTCGCGGATATCTGTATTTGTTAATAAATTATAAAAATTACTTAAATATAATTAGTTTATTATACTATATATTTTCATCTTCTAACAAAATAATCTCCTCATACATTTTTTAAGTTTTCTTTGAAGAAAACACGTATATTTCATTTAAATCATATTCACCATTTCATATTTAAGCTTCTTCTATATTCCATACATCACTTTAATAATTCTACCGTCCAACCAACCAGTAACGTCATATCTCCGTCCAATCAGTGTCATCCTTTCTACTCTTTCGTTGACCGCTCTTCCATCATAACTCACAATCACAATATCTTTCAATTTATTTTGTTAAAAATGAAATGTATGAATATTATGCTTTGGTGAAAATGAAGAAAACTAATGTGATAAATTTTTTTTGTTAAAATAAGAGAGATTTGTATGGATGTAATGTGAAAATAACTTCTTATGTCTTTAAAAGTGTTTAGGGAGTTCACTAGGAGTATTGATAAAAAGTTGAAGGTTATGTGCACCTTTGTGAGAGACACACCACTTGTCCACCTAAATCTTAAGGTGATAGGTGAGTGGGCTCTCCCATTTATAAATGTTCAAGTCACCACATTCCTATCCAATGTGGGACTATTTCCTCACTTACTCACACTTGTATTATTATTCTAACACCCCCCTCAAGTGGGACTATTTCCTCACTTACTCACACTTGTATTATTATTCTAACACCCCCCTCAAGTGTGAGTCTATAATGCTCTCTCATTTATATCGTCATTGACACCTTGAAACGTGACACCTCTTCTTGGGAATTTCGATACAAAGTCGGTCTCTTTCTCGAAGTAAAGACTCTGATATTATTTGTTGGAGGAGTTCACTAGGAGCATTGATACAAAGTTGAAGATTATACATCTTTGTTTGTGAGAGACACACCACTTGTCAACCTAAAACCTTAAGATAATAGGTGAATGAGTTCTCTCATTTATAAATATTCAAGTCATCATATTCCTATCCAATGTGGGACTAGTTTCTCACTTACTCACACTTGTATTATTATTCTAACAAAAATAAGCTAGAAATATTTTTTTGAAATATAATTTTAAAAAAAAAGTGTTATCCATTGATATATGTAAATATTCACGAATATCTTAAAACCCGCAAATTACCCGTTTAGTGGATACCCGCACGGATATGGACGGATATGAATATCATATTTATCCAACGGAGCGGGAACAAATATTATACTATTCGTCCCCATGGATATCCATTTACATTCCTAAAGGTGATGTATTAAGAAAGTCTCAAGTCCCATATTGATAAGATATAGAGCATCTAAAGAGTTTATATAGAAGGACATCTCTCATCTTACACGTCAGTTTAGTAGGGGAAGAGTTAGACTAATATATAATCCTAATACTAATAACCATAAGTATTTTGTCCTCCAATATTCTCTTGAATTTTACATTGATTCTTGACTTGATTTTTCCCTTGATTGTGTACTTGATTTTTGTCATTGGCAATTTCAATTAAATTAGCACTATCATAGTGTTAAGTTATTGCATTTGTGGCAGTGTAACCATATTCTATGGTATAGTCAAGGTGTAGTTTCTTGCTACATGGTCATATTTCCCACAATTCTTGTATAAGAGGAGGAAAATATAATTTAAGTATTAATATAAATAGAGATAGTTAGTTTGAGTTTTAACACAACAACAAAATATAGTATTTTGGGTGTATTGGAGTTTTAGATACTCCCTCCATAACGATTTATAAGCAAATTTTATAAATCGTTATGGAGGGAGTATTTGCATGTCTAGAGAGTGTTTTTTTTTAAATAGTTTGTTGAAAGGGTTTTTTATTTTTCTGTTCAAAAATAATTTGCTGAGAGGGTTTGCAATTTTTCTGTTAAAAAATTGAAATTGGAAAATTGGGAGAGGGTTTGCAATTTTTCCGTCAAAAAATTACAATTGGGAGAGAGTTTGTAATTTTTTCGTTCAAAAGTTGCAATTGAGAAGGGTTTGCAATTTTCTCCTTAAAAATTACAATTTGGAGGAGGGTTTGTAATTTTCTCTTTAAAAATTGCAGTTTGGAGGATTTGCAAGTGGTTTGTAATTTTGTCCTGATAAAAAAAACTACAAGTTGAATTATGATTTTGTGAGTTTTATTTTTGAATTTTTATGTTTTTCTTCTGTGGGTATGCTTCCGACAATGTAAAAATTTGTTTTTTTTTTTGTTATTTTCAAGTTCTGATCAAGGGAGAAAGAAAGAGTCACAAAAATTCCAATCAAACGAAAAAGGAAGAGTAACAAAAATTCTGATCAAGGGAGGAAGAAGACAAAAATGTTAGAAGAGTAATAATTTTATAAATGTGGCTAATCATTATAATTATAGTGATCACTTTGAAGACGAAGATGAAGATAAAGCGAAAATATGTAAGACTTTGGATGAAAGGAGAATTTGTTGGGTTAAATAATATATTCATCAAGTCCCACATCGGATAGTAGGCATAAAATAGAATTTAAGTATTAATATAAATAGAGATAGTTAGTTTGAGTTTTAACACAATAATAAAATGTATTCTTTTTGGGGTGTATTGGGGTTTTGGGTATTTGTGTGTCTAGAGGGTGTTTTCTATTTTCTCGTTTAAAAATAGTTTGTTGAGGGGATTTTCTAGTTTTCCGTTCAAAAATAGTTTGTTAAGAGGGTTTGCAATTTTCCCATCCAAAAATTGCAATTGGGGAAAGGTTTACAATTTTTCCATCCAAAAATTCCAATTGGGGAAAGGTTTGCAATTTTTTTTTGTAGATTTGCAAATTTTCCGTTTAAAAATTACAATTGAGAAGAGTTTGTAGTCTCATTAAAAATTGCATAAAAAATTATAATTGGAAAGATTTGTAATTTTGTCCTATAAATAAAAGGAATTTTATAAAATTACTTTTGTACACATTTTTAATCTTCTCTAGAAAGACTAAAACTGCGTGCAAAAATAATTTTATAAAGACTAAAATTCAACTTTTTTTATAGAGACTAAAAATCAATTTTAATAATTTTATAGGAATTAAAAACATATACCATGTATGAACACCATAAATTCTACCCTATTGAAATATATGTGATTTATGTAACATTTTTTCTACCCAGTAATAGCTTATAGTAATAGTATAAAGTATATAATTTGCATAAGTTTCATAATCAAAACAAAATTACTATCTTTTAGCAATAATAAATTATACTTTTTATGTGGAAAGGTGACATTAAATACAAATAGACTATGGACTTTAAAATCAAAGCATAAAGTAGCAAAAAGATTGATGGACAAGAAAAGTTTCCCTTTACAAAATTTAAACACAGTGTAGTAGAACTATTCCTCTTCTCACAATACATAACACATTTTAAAAACAGTATGTTATCACATGTATATTTATTTACATATATCTCTTCCATGAAACTAATTCATATTCACATTATTACTCTCAAAAAGTAGGCTTCAAATCTCAACCAAAATGTTAACACCCTGCAGAAGAATAAACAAAACCATATAAACATAATCTTTTGCCATGTTATCTACTAGAACATGTCTTCATCATCCTCTCTAACGAAAATCTCTGGATGTACAACTGCACTTGTGAAATTTAGAGCTCGTTGTAGTTTTCGGCGGTCAATTACTTCAACATCAACCAAGAAGATTGAACTAACTGGTCGATGATCCGAGAGCTTATTTGCTGCACATTGATACTCAAGTTGCTTTATTCCTTTTCCTATCCACAATATGCGATCACACCTGCACAATCTTACACATAAGAATAATCGTCTAATGCATGCGGTAACAAAATGTTCATAGGGTTGTCCGCAAATCCTAGCTCATCTGGCAATTGCCAATATTGCTAGGTTGGACGTCAATACCAGAGTTCTAACTCTGGCTCTCACGGTTGTGTGTGTGATTTTTAGTGATCATTACTTTGTCTACGGATAAAAAAATTGTTCAGAGGGTTGCATTTACCATGCCGGAGATCTCTTTTTTTCGCCTTCTTGTGTGAACTTGCCCGCATATTTATCGGAGTTGAATTCATATTTGTAAGTAGGTGGAAAATTTACCAACCCTTCTTTCCATCCCTCAAATACATGTCCATTACATAATTCATTGCTTAGCTGCAAATAAAGTGAATCTTTAAAATCTGAATATAAGTTTTGTGACGAAACTTGCATAACAAGTTACTCTAAGCTTAGGCCTTAATAAAGCTATAACAAATTGCACACAAGTGGTTTAGTTTGTCTAGGTTTCATAGTTCTTACCTGGTCATAATTCATGAGTTCATCCCAATTTTTTAGACCTACTAGCTTCCGAACCTCGCCATCCGACATATTGATACGGTAATTCAAATCTCCAAACCAGAAAATTTGACTGTCATCAGAAACCAAACCATCAATGAATCCAAGATCGTCCATTCACCATACTGATGTGAAATCTTTCTTTGAAAAAAATATGCAAATTAAAGTGAGGCAAAACACGCTTACTCGTGCGATGGAATCGTGCGTGGTTGATCTGAGTCGAAGACTGAAGAGAAACGAGTGCGTTGTAGAATTTCATTAACATCTGAGTTTCGTCTTTGTTCCGCTCCATCTTTTTGACCAGAAGCAAGATGGGAACAGACAAAGCACATACGCGACTGAAAAACAGACATACTAACCGAAACAGACCCCTGCATTAGTCGTAATTTGTTACCTCATATACTAAGGTTAGCATAAACATGTTAACATTCTAAACAAATGCACAGATATAGTGAGTTATCTTATGATTATGCCATTACCTTGTTTCCCATATAGCCCATAAGACCAACTCCAACAGGAGAAACTTTCAAATGATGAATATGCCTTCTCAGCTTCCTTTGTACCCAAACAGACACATATATTCCCACCATCTGCTTACTCACGATCCTAACATACTTAGGATGTGATTTCTCACTAACATCTTTTTTATCTTGTAGTTCGTCGAAACTGTCATTTTCTTCATCAGATGACATATCAGATACATCAACTACTCGAGGAACCGTTTCTTGTTGTTTTTCTCTCCATAACAAACTCAAATTTCCAGAACTTCGGTATAAACTTTTCTTTCCATAACCATACATTGAAGCACTATCCATCAAATTAAATCCAATTTTAGCCGAACTGCTTAGTACTCTACGCAACTTTGGAGTCGAATCAAAGTTACGAGTTTCATCTAATGGACTTTCAGGCCAATCAAGTATAGTTTGAAGATCAATGTCATATATTTTTCTCAATTGAAGATTCTTTTCTATACCAATTATGGTTTTCTCTCCCTCATCCACCATAGCTAGTTGATTCATTTGTGTATCAAGTGAAGAATTTGTTCTAACAGGAGAAGATGGTGCACTATAGCTTTTCTGTTTGGTTTCATGTTCAGATGATTTGTTTAGAGTTCTTCTAATGATTTCTTCCCATTTCGAAATAGGTTTATTATCTTCAGCTCCTAGCACATTCCCAGCATTCAATGGAACCACCTCTTGAAAACTGTTAAATCATCACATAAATCAACACATAAGTAATACAAACTTCGAAGGCCGAGGATAAACCAAGGCCTAAGAGGGGATTTAGAAGTAGTTTTCAACCAGCAATAGACGTGCTCGGTTAAAACCTCACTATCTACGTCATTGCCCCAAGCGCAAGCAAAGATGCTTGGTAATGTATTAAGCTCTTCATTTTATATAATCTTGAAACACATGTACTTACCCAATAATGTAAATATCTGCTGGTTTTTTAGTACAAAGCCAGTCTTCAATATCAAGATCATTACATGGAGGTACTCCAGCAACATTCCAAGTACCAATTGTTACTCTGAAATTTAACCATTTATCATTACTTTCACTAATAATATTTTTCAAGTTAACAACATATCGCGTAATCAGATTAATATCATACCTCACTTCCTTTGTATTTATGTACTGAACGCGCAAAGTTTCTGATTTTCCTCTTTTGTGTCGTCTCGTCTTGTAGTCTTTGCAAGATGTATCTGAATTACAAATATCAAACCACACATATAAGGATTTTAACTCTGTCATCATCATCTCATCATTTATATTTCTTGGTTAACAAGATGAAGCACATACCATCATCATCGCTTTCGGTTTCAGTATCCGCTTCATCTTCGCTAAAATCATACACTTTTTGCTTTATATTCAACCATTTCTTCATCACTGTGGAGGGCCAAAACACCTGTCATAAAACCAAACAAAAAGGTTTTAAGAAAATGCAGCTCATATAATAAGACAGTTACATAATATATACATTTTAGTATAAATATTCTCATAGAAGTTTACAAGCCATGTTAAAGCTAACCTCTGAGCGTTTTCCTTTTCTTGTTTTCATTGTGCTTCAACTCAAAATACTATAACTCAACTTGTGTACTGTACTGAGCCTAACTTTCAAAGCTCAAGCTCTTACATATGGAAACTACAACTTTTAGCCACTATCTGTCTATTAATATATTTAAGTAACTAACTAATATAATATGTCTTTTCAGATTGTAACAATTAATAAAACCATAAAGTTGGAATTTTTTTGAAAGATATATAATCCGTAACAGCAACACCTCTTGAAAAAAAAACGTGAGCATGTCCGTATCAATGTCAGATACTGACACTGACACGACACCAACACTTGTGATTAAATTCAATTTTTATTTTTTTTCAAATTTTTATCAGTGGTGTTGTGTCCGGTATCTATATCTTATATCTGCTTCATAGTTGAAAACAAGTGTTTGAAATGACAATGTCGGCTAGATATCCACAACCACGGCTTTCATAAGGTTAAGAAAACAAAATGGAATATTACTGGTCCTCACACTGCAAAATATTCAGACAATAAAACACAGGAAAACATACCATCAATAACAAAAGGTTAAAACTATAAAATAATCCTAGTTGCTAATTTTTCTATTACTTTAAAACAATAATGCAGAAACTAATATCCACTTCACTAGCAAATTCACTATAGCCACAAAATTTAGATGTTAATACATCATCATTCACCTTAACTGACGAATAATATGTACTAGTATATTTCTTTCCTATATATTAACTATTCATAGGGATTAATTATATTAGAGTCAACATAGTAAGCAACTAGCTAATAAAAGTAATTAGTGTTAATCATAAAATAATCCAAATGGGTATATTTTACTATTATTGGTTAGACCAATAATGCTACAATAGTAGCAGAAATCACTGCAGCCACAAATTGGAGAAGTGATTAATACATCAGCAGAAACCAAAACAGAAACTGATGATGACAGGCAACTAATATGAAAAACAGATACGTACAAATCAGATTTTTCAATGACCCCCACACGGGAGAAATTCCCCTAACAAGTAACTATCATGTAATATAAATAAATAACCAAGATTACTTGAATAGCTATATAGACTAGGGTGGTTAGGAGATAATATTTATTTTATTTTGAAAGAGTTGAGACACTATATTTTGAAAAGTTAACAGAATCAAAGTTTTGTTCCTTCTATTATACTATGCTAAGACAGGTATACAAATTGACAAGTTGAGCATATTTCTTTTGTAAAGTTGAGGCATAAAACAGAATGGTTATTTGAGGAAGTGAGGGCACGGATGTAGGGTTAGATTGTGCGCACTATATGTGAAGGTAGCAATTTTGAAAGCATGCATCCATCCATCTAATCTGTTGAACAAGTTGATGAGGGAATAACAACTTTCAATATTACTGTTAAATTAACTAACAAATCCAAAATTGTTAAATTGGTATTGAGTGATGAAAGATAAGTCAAAGCAACTTACTTGTATATTTTAGAAGATGTTTGGATTGATAATATCATGGAATAAAGTGGATTAGAATAGAATAATGTAGTCTTCTAAGACTTCAATTCTTTATGTTTGGTGGAGCAATACGGACGGGGTAGACCTGCAAGGTTAGCACTTCAACACTTAAGTCATGAAGAGAAATCAGAAGTAATGTGTGAGTGTTAATGAATTTGAATACTTGAAATGTCGCGTTTTCCACTTATATATCAAGAGCGGTTAAAATCGTTTGCACGTGATGTGGTGTATTGTGCAGACAACCACCATCTGAATAAATTGAATGGAGATTGATGCGTTGGAGGACGGAATTTCTTATTTATGGTTAATGTGAAGGTCTACTCGTTATGTGTGTATTTCCACTTGGAATTCACTCTTGGGTCTTACAAAAGACCCAAAATAATTTCCCCCTAAACCCGTGTTCATGTTCAGTAGAATAAGGACTTTTGTCATTCACACCTTTAGACAGACTATTAACTATCGTAAGTGAAAAATCTTGATCGGAGGTCATTAACATTGGGAACAAACGCATTAAATGTTCTTCACTTGATTGACAATACTTCCCAGGAAAGTCTCGACGCGTGTCACACCATCTGATGATAATGATATCTTCCATGCCCTAGGATATATACTCAAGTAATCTGAATAGTTCAGTATGAGATCTTGATCGTCGGTGGTGTGGATTGTGCATTCCATTTCAATGGATCGAACAATATATATATATATATATATATATATATATATATATATATATATATATATATATATATATATATATATATATATATATATATATATATATATATATATATATATATATATATATATATATATATATATATATGGAGTTATGAACTATTTGTTTCTCTTTTTTCGTCATTTGTGAATTTCTAAACTTTCCCCTTCTCGCCTGCATATTCTTCTTTTTCGGTCATTCTTTCTGCATTGTTCTTCACATTTGTCCCATTCATGTTGCTCTCTTTAGCAAGATCTGCAATGCGCAAACCATCAACTTTGCTTCTTTGAGGTAATACACATGTTTCCTCCTCTTATGTTCTTTCTTTCACCATTAGGTTTTTTTGGATAAAGGGTTATGGGATCTTTGATCTCTTTTATTTGCATTTCCCTAAATGTTTTTACCATATACGTACTTTGATATGGAAGATATATTTATTTTTAAATATTCTTGTAGATGCTACTTATATTTATTTCTTTTTATGTGTTGGCATAACCTTTTATAATGAATAATTGTATAGCTCAAATCCAAAAAGGGAATGGGGAACAACTCAACGACATGGGTGGATCAAGAGATGTTAGACGCCATCTCCACCTTTGTGGGTGAGGGCGGCTTGGACTGTGCCTTTGTCGCGGTCAGATCTTCTTCGGGTTATGGGGTGTTTCTCCCTAAGGAAGATAAGAGTATATGCGACAAATATGATAGGTGAGTCGTTCCTCTTCATGAATGTCTATTTTCTCTCATAGGTTTCTCCCTTCCTTTTAATGATTTTTAGGTTAACGTTCTTAATCTATTATTAATTTCTCCTTTGCGATTGCATTCGTTGAGCTGAGTTTATGTCAAAATCTTTCATCGTTGCTGCGAGTACAAGAATGGAGAGTCATTTGTGGTGCTTTTATTCCATCATTTTAAGGCCCAATGCAGCTATGTTGACTCAGCGTAGGGTCAAGTCCTTATACCTCTCAGGCAAAGTACTTGAATGCGTGATGTCTACTCGAAAAGTTTAGAATGTTTCAAGGACCAGTGCTACTTGGATGCGCATATTTACTAAGACAGCTCATGCAAACCTATGGAACATAAATCACGAGCCACATTATCAATATTCTGAAATATTCCCCAAGTCTCGACATTAGAGACATTTATTGGCGGACTCCACGACTTATGTCTATAAAAGGGATTATTTCTCTCAAGAGGAGATTTACCTGAAGAGGCAGTTGATATCCTTCTTCAAATTTTTGGGTTATGTTGAAGGTTTTACCCCTCCTAATGTAGCGTCAAAGAAATACATGAAGTGATACATAGAGACACAGTTGTTGGTAGATGTCGGATCAAAAGATTCTAGGCAGATAGTTTTTGGTGAATAACGCAGGAAATTCTTTTTTTCTTGAACGTTCCTTTAGTGGTTTTTCTTTCTAACTTGTCCACAACTTGAATATAGATAAGATGGAATTCCACCAAACAATGCAACAAATGAAGAGGAACCCTCGGGTTATCCCCTTATCTGGCATGTGGTACCAACTTCTGCATTGCTCAAAGGGTTCCGACTACGGGACTTTCTCCTGATTTAGTCGTAGTGGAAGATCCTATGTGCTCGTCCCATGGATGGCTAGGGGAGTTCAATCATTAGCTTTGAGATTGAAGGTCTTCATGATGAAGAGGCATCTTCTATCCAGTCTCGATCGTCCATATGAAGTGCATTACCCTTTTCGCCAACCTCTCATCCGCATCCGTGAAAGTTTGGGGAGTTTCAAACTTTTGACTCTAAAGATGATTATACCTATTTTTAGAGCAAGGATGAAATTGATTTCTAAAAAGAGTTATAATTTTGGCATATCATACCCATCAGGAGTTCAGGCCTTTGGCACCGCCTGGAAGGGAGAAGTCTTCTTGTTTGACCGTTTTCAAAACGAAAATTAAGTCCTTTAAGAGTGTGTCAACGCTCTTAGAATCGAGCAAGATTAGTACTTGAAAGAGCTCCAAGAGTGTGTATTTTGTTTTTGAGAATAAGGGTCACTTTAGAAACTTTAGAGTATCTTAGAACGCTAGCCGAGAAGGTTAAATCACTTGTGTAGAAGGTAAGGAAAAAGGACGAAGCTCTATCCCTCTCCAAGACAGCATTGGCAAAGGCCAGATTCGCCCTTGTTGAGGCTAAAAAATCATTATATTTTTCCTGTAAGACGGTAGAGGGGTTGGAGGAATCCTTGAAAGAGGATGGAGAAATTTGGAATAAAACTGAGGACAACCTTCAGGAGATGCATCTTTAAATTCTTGTATTATCAAAGGAGTATGTGAAGGAAGTGGAAGACGCTTTCTCCATTGTGCATGTAACTTTTGAGAATGCGTTGTATAATTTGGAATAATTTTATCCTAAAGTGCATATTTTGTGAGAGTGAGTTCGTCTCGATAAGGAAATAGTGAATGGGGAGTGTTGTACCCCAAAATTTATCCTCTCTTTTTTCAAGACATTTCTCACAAATATTTCCAAAAGCTCAAGTTTGCACAAGTACAATTGGACTTTTTAATGCCCCATATAGTTTCCATTGGACTTTCAAGCATCAGGTCGAAAGATGAAACTTCTGAATCTTCGAAAGGAGGAAGAGGAAAATGTCGAAAGGGAAAAGAAAATAAAAGAAAAAGTGTGCAGCTGCATATAACCATGTCGAATTCAAAACCTGGTTCAGGCTGTTCAAACTATATGACTGATCAAAAGGAGTGGTTGGCAGATTTTGAAAAATCGAAGAATAGCAAGCTTGATTCGATCCAGAAGCTTCGACTGGGAAATGGCTTCCTTCGAAGCAACCTGCTT